TAATTGACTCATGATTCCAATGAGTGAAATTTCTAAAATCTCCACAAAACCCCTTCTGATAAACAGTATTTGCTTAATATCTATGTGATACTGATTGTGTAACTAAGCATGAACAAATTGTATATTGATAGTATATCAAGTCAAATACAATGTATAACCTGGTACATGTATACATTGTAATCTGTTAGCATAGAAATGACATTGTTGGAGTGAATTCTACCGAAGTAGAGAGAGGTCATAGAATAGGTAATAGATGAAAAAGACAAAAAGTCAATGTATATAAGCTACTGCAAACAATTTCAAGTGGTATCAGTCAAAAGCTTCAACTATTGATTAGGATAATCAAATGAACACTAACCAGATAATATAGATCTGTTAAAATGATTTAGTTCAATTATTAAAGTTTTCATAGTCTTATGTCACATCTTGGTTTGATCATTTATAATGAGATAGGATGGAATTCTTGATATTTATCGAAAATCGATTAATTTTGCTAATCAGTCAGTGGTTGTATCTTTAATTTATCATGAAATCAAACAAGGAAATGTATACAAAATGTTTAGGGTTCGAATCCATATGTTATTTATATTACATCTTGTTAAAGACTTTCCTAGTTGATGACAATGCTTAGAGAAGACGACTATCTTTGTATATTGCATTCATTATTTGTGATAGGTATATGTCATGGTCACTATACATCAATTTGATTGCTTATGATAAGGCATTTGACAGTGTAGATAGGAGAACATTATGGAAACTTCTTCGACACCATGGAGTTCCTGAGAAGATTGTCAACATTAACCAGAACTCACTCGACGGACTACAGTGCAAAGTAGTGCATGGAGGACAGCTGACAGATCTATTCTAAGGAAGGACAGTAGTCAGACAAGGCTGTCCTTTCCTCTTTCTTCTGATGGTCAGCTGGATTATGAAGACCTCAACATCTAAGGAAAAACATGAAATACGATAGACAGCTCGGAAGCAATTAAACGATCTGCACTTCGCAGATGATCTAGCTCTCTTATCCCATACACAAGAAAAAGTACAGATGAAGACAACTTGTGTATCAGAAGTCTCTGCATCAACAGGCCTCAACATACACGAAGGGAAAACCAAGGTCCTCAAATACAACATGGAGAACACCAACCCAATCACATTTGATGGCGAAATTCTGGAAAAGGCGGAATCCTTCACATAACTGGGAAGCATCATCGATGAACAAGGAGGATCAGATACAGACGTAAAGGTGAGGATTGGCAAAACAATAGCCACATTCCTACAATTGAAGAACATATGCAACTCAAAACAACTCTCAAACAATATCACAGTGAGAATATTCAATCCGAACGTCAAGGCAGTTCTACCGTAGGGAGCTGAAACTTGCACAACTACTACAATCATCATCAAGAAGGTACAAATACTAATAGATAGTTGTCTATGCAATATACTCAACATCCATTGGTCGGATACCATCGGTAACAGCCTTCTGTTGGAGAGAACAAACCAGCTTCCACCTGAAGAGGAAATTAGGAAAAGACGATGGAAGTGGATAGGACATAAATTATGCAAATCATCAAACTACATCACGAGACAAGCCCTAACTTGAACTCGTGAACGGAAACGGAAAAGTGGAAGGCCAAATAACACATTACGTTGGGAAATAGAAGCAGATATGAAAAGGATGAATAACAACTGCAAAGAGCAGGGTTTGATGGAGAATGTTGGTGAGCGGCCTATGCTTGTTGACGAGGAGTACTAGGCGTAAGTAAGTACATTGTCATTGTTCTACTATGATTCTCTTTAATAAGGATGTGAGGACGGTTTACGGGTGAACTCATTGAAGCTTTAAGAAGTTCAGAAAGAACCAAACACGTTCCATCTAATCATCTTTTGGAAGAATATTCCAGAATTTCTAAGTATAGTTTCTCTATTGAAAAAATGCTATAAACTCCCAAAATGGTGATTTCACTTTTACTAAAACTTATAAATACCTAAGAGTTTTGTATCATATTTGACACAGTTTAGAATAACATTCCTTCTCAATCATTTTCTATCTTCTCATTTGACACTTAGAGGGTTCTAGCATTCAACTACTCAAATTGTATACGGTATATCAAGGCTCTCAGCTCTAAATATAACAATGTGCTTGTTAATCAGTATGAGCTTTTTTTTAAAAAAGATGACAGCACATTCTATTCTATTTCATAACTTACATCATCCATAACATGAATGACACGTCATGTCATATATCATGTGACAGTCAAGTTAATACTAACAAATTATTCAGTCATTAGTAGGTCTTGTAAAACTATGATCACAGACATCCCTAGTATGGTATTCCAGTCGTCAGGGCTGTACAATCATAATGCCAATTATACAATTATAAATGAATTCTTAGTATGAATCTGAATTTTATGTTATTTGAAAACTGAATGATCAGTTGTGAAATAATGGAGAAGATTTATAGCTTAGGTGAATGATTTCGATGTAGTTTTATTCTATGAGCTGGATGGTTTGCTCGTGAAGCTTTCATCGCCCTTCTGAACGACACCATCAGCACAAAGTTCAGGAAGTTGTCATTTATGAAGATGTAAAGTATTTGAAGATTGTTTCTTTATTCATATCTGTGATAGATGGAGTTCAAGAATATCAGTAATGAGATGTGTATGTATCACTGAGAGCTGAATGAATATCAAAATGAAAATCAATGGATTCCAACTTTGGTGATCTAAAGCGAATGAACTCATCATTGAGACTTAAACATACTTGATATTATCTCTAGTAAGTCCACAAGTACTCACCTCTATGTAATCATGTATTTAGATGCCATATAGGTCGATTGGTTTATTGTTCTCAATTGTTTTACATTTGATTCTTGTCCGTAATGAGTAGTATCTTTAAGATAATAATTATGATTATGTTTTAAATCTTATGAATGATTTTGTACAGAGTGAGCCATTCAAACGGTAAAATACATTCGTATGAATTGTTTACCAGTATCAGTGATAAAGTTTATTTACCATAAGCTAACCATGATATTCAAGATTAACGCACGGAACTGTTTGAATATTCAATGAAGGAAGTTGAAAGAAGATTATGTAAACATGGATTGAAACCAGAAAATATTATTGATTGTAAATTGATCTGTTCATTAATGAGAATTATATTGACTATGATAATTAAACATGATCAGTTCATGCTAGGGGTAACTTTTAAATGATCAAGAAATGAAGTGTAAATAGAAACAAGAAAACTATCTAGAGGTCCATGTTTACCAACTATATACTTGTGTACACTTATATTTATTTGATACATTTCAGTCAATTAGACAGTCAACTAAAATATAGGACCAAGCATATATATGCATCGATCCAAGTTGCCATACCTCATTAGCACAACAACGTGAACACCAAATTCATAAAAGTAGTTAATTCAATGGTGGAAATATATAAAATAATGATTGCATATAAGGCCATCGTATAGGAAGAAAGAATTAGTTCGTAGAAAGAAAGATATGAAGCAATTTTAATCTCATAGTATAAGGGAAGACAGGGAGTGTATACACCGACGCCATTGTGATCGATTCTGAGCCATGTCACTAAGAGTCTCCAACCATTGGTCATGATAGTCACGAGGACCCCAACCAAGTAGTCTACATCTACCAACATGGCTCAGACTAGAAGTTAGTGTCTTCAAGCACTGATGCCACGTTTTGGTTTGGCCGCCCCTCACTTTCTTCCAACCATCTCCAATACCGAATAGCCTTGCACTTCGTGGTAATCGGTATTCAGGCATACGTAACACGTGGCCCAACCATCTCAGTCGATGAAGATTCATAACCTCATCAACTGATTTACCATCATTCCCTAATATCCTGTGTCTAACCTCACTATTACTTATCCGGTAATTCCAGTAGATGTGAGCGACATTTCTAAGATATCTGTGGTCAAACACTAGTAGCTTACTGGTATCTACTACTCGTAAAGGACACGGTTCGCAGCCGTAAATTAGAAAATTTCATCAGCTGTATACAAACACGTGGTCTAGCCATCTCACTCGATGAACATTTACAACTGAAGATACATTTCAGTAGTAAATATAATTCTGTATCAAAATTTACTCTAATCATAAGAAAATTTAGGTAATTCTTTAAGAAATTTTCTAATAAAATAATTGATCTTCAGCAAAACATAAACATGAAACCACATGGATACAACTGGATTATATTTATTTTCAAGGATAATAATAAGAAGAGGATAATCACTGATCATTCATTAAGATTATTTCTACGGTCTCAATATAATTAAAGTATACTACTCATTACTTAATCATAAAACTTTAAGAATTTCCATCTAGAAATGTACAATAATCATGATAGGACCTTTATTGTAATTCATGTTTTAAAAGGTGTATGCTTGGTAATAAACAAGTATAAATAGAGACAGACGTTAGAGGAATGACACAACGATTGGATAGAACTAGAAAGGAAGGTTCAGGAAAGAGTGGGTTGAAGAATGCTCGTCTGCGGTCTGTACTCCACTGGTAGGAACAGGCTTAAGTAAGTAAGTAAGCGAGCGAGTGAGTGATTGAGTAAGTAAGTGATATGATGGGAAGAAAAGTTAGAATTCGATTGATTTGGTCATTAATATATGTATAATAATGATAATAACAATGATAAGAAACTCCGCCTGGAGTCCCTCCGGGGGCTACTGCCGGTCCCTTGCACGGATAAAGGAGGAGGGTTGGGTATGGGGTTCGCGATCCCATCCTGTAGAAAACTAACTCGTTAAAAAAACACTAACCAGAAAAAAATTATTCGAACCACTTAAATTCTGCCCTGGGAGTTAGAAGGTCTTCATTTAGAAGAGGTGTCATGATAAAAGCCGACTTCCTTCAGAAGTCGCGATGCTGATGCCCCTTCCGACAACCAGATTAACTATTTATTTAGGTACATAGATGTAACAATGATAAGAAAAAGGAAAGAATGACTATAGACTTACCTTTAAGTTCAGAATTGATTCGTTTAATCGATTGATTCATTCCATTATTCAATGGATTAGATTCATCTTTCTGTGTATTATATTCATTAGATATAGTTTTATTCAAATGAGATATCATTGAATGAGAATTAGATGATGATGATGATGTTTTAGTCTTTGATAGATCCATTATATTCGATTGAATATCATTGGGTTTAACTATAGTTAAAGGAATTTTTGGTGTTTCTAATCCAGCTGTTTTACATGAGAAACCTTCTATTTTATTACGATGATTATCCTTATCCATTGAAGTGTTATTATTATTATTATTATTATGGTTTAATCCTAACCATGTTTCAGTTAGATTTGGTATTGTATATTCATAAAATAAATAACCTTGTTCAGTCATAGCAGTACGACATTTAATAAGACTTAATTCATTATCATATGGACATTGATTAGGTATTTCACCAACACATGCTGATTGACAATTATGAAAACAAAATTTACCCCATAGGGCTATAGGACATTGAAAGAACATACTATAACCATTAAGTATGTTATTATTATTATTGTTATTGACTTCTAATTGTTTATTATTGAATGAATGAACTTCACAACGTATTATTAATGGTTGATTTAATTGTACTTGATTAGACGATGGATTAAAACTTATAGTTAATGGTGTATCTGATTCAATATCTAATGGTTTACTATAAATGATAATAATTCCATAGATCATTAGTAATAATAATGAAAGAATCATTTCTACAATTGAATGTAATGAATTTGATCTTGATTGATACAACATGTTCTTCTTCTTCTTCTGCTTCTTCTTCGTAGAAACTGGGATACTTCAATTAGTTGTTCTTTGTTCTCTTATCATGTAAAGCATATGATGGATAAAATAAGGTATTTCATTGAATTAAATAAAGGACATAGTAACTAATTTATAATTTAGTTATTCCATTAGTAATTTGTTTCTATTTAAAACGAAAAAAATTTTTTTTCTGTCATAAACTAAGAGAACAGACGACAATTTTGTATTTTAGATCCAGGACATACGATTTTTAAAAAAATCATCACTTTCTCCAGAAAAGTTATTCACATGTTGTGTTCACACTACAATAAATGATAATCATTAAAAAATGATAATAAGCAACAGAGTCTTTTCTTTTTCTGAAAACCCACCTCCCCCTCCTCCAAAGAAACCTTACTACACCATACTACAGCATATCATAGCACAGCACAGCACACGCATACACGCACAGACACACACACACATCAGTGTCATCACCAATACCAACCATTATGTGCTTTAAAAATTAACCAATTAATTTGTAGGGTGGAAAAAAAATGTGATGCGTGGGCGTCCGGTACATTATTATGGTTAACAAATAATAGTAACATCAATGTGTTGAATGATTTATTTGATTATCACATCACTTTTTTTTTGTTGTTGGTTAGACAGAATTTTTAATGTTCATCTTAGTGAGGGATAATTTTTGTTTTAAAATCATCAAATGGATAAGGAATACTATCAAGAAATTGAAGTATTCAATGGAAGTATATTTCAATTGAATTTGAATATGAAGTGAAAGATTTTAAGTGAGAGTATAATTTATGGATGATGTGTTGAGCGATGCCAAGATAATCTTGAAATTGTCCACCTAATAACTAGGATTAAATGAACACTGATTACCACGATGCGCAATGTTGATTAGTGTAGGGGATAGTTAGAAGAAAGTTAGGGACAGCCAAACCAACACGTGGCATCAGTGCTTGAAATCACCAACTTTTAGTTTGAGCCATGCTGGTAGATACAGACTACTTGATTGGGATCTGCGTGACTATCGTAACCAATGATTGGAGACTCTGTGTGACGGCTCAGAATCGATCACAATGGTGTAGTTGTATACACTTTCTATCTTCCTTTAAACTATGAGATTAAAATCGCTTTATATCTTTCTTTCTACGAACTAATTCTTTCTTCCTGTACTATATCCTGATACACAATGTTCTTTATATGTATTACTACCATCTTGTTGTTCTAATGCGGTATGGCAACTTAGATCAATGCATATATACCTGGTCCTACATTTTAGTTGATTGACTGACTGGCTGAGCTATAATGCTGAAACCCTATTTAAGCAAATGGTTGATTGAATTTCGGGATAGATGAGGGGCGAGACTATAATTTATAGAAGGACCAATCACATTCAGGATAATAGATTTCGGATTTGGGATCGAAATTCATTCATCCATTTGGGTAAAAAGCGTTTTGTCATTTTAGTTGATGTCAGTAAGTGATGAAAAACCGTAAACCTAATTCCTAACTCTTAACCATCAACTATAAATCATAATCCTTATTCTTCATGCAGGTTTATAACTTTCATATTTAGTCGCAGCAAGTAGAGTGGACATTCTTAAGGTCATCTTGGCGTCGCTCGAAGGTCGTCCATAAATTATAGTCTCACCTCTTTGTAATTTTTGTTTTTGTAGTGAACGAACACTCACGTGGGGGCAATCAATTTATTTTTAGTACACACAGAAACTCTTGAAAAAAATATGAGAGTCAGTCAGCTACAACATAAGACCTGATACATATATGCATTGGTCCAAGTTTGCCATACCTCATTACCACAACAAGATGAACACTGAATTTATAGAAGTAATTACTTCAAAGTTTGGTCTTGAATGCTGTTGGAGATATGAAGTCGGTTAGCACTTTCCAGTTGCCCGCAACTTGGACGGGTTCTTCTGGAGGTACTTGAAAGGAAATTGTATTAGAGGTGGTCTTAGTGACTTGAGAGCGTGACCGCAGTGCCCAGAGGACAACTGCTTGAGGTCGGTTACAGATGATCTTTTTTGAGATAACTTAGTACTTGCTGATACCATATCGCCAGATACGGAATTCAGTGGGATAAGGCGAGATGTGCATTTTTGAAAGGTCGACCTTTTCTAACCCTACCCTTTCTTGTAGGAAGGCAGCATCGCTGTTATACTGGTTGTCTGAAGGAAACATCTTACTACCGTCACATCACTGTATGGTTAGCAGTACGACTTCGCCTTGGATTTGCTGCTTTTAGTCCTACTGTTCTTCAATCAACCTATCTGACATGGTAGGACCTTGAGGAACGATTGCTCCAGCCAGTACAGTACGATTGACTCATTACAGTAGGTGAGATAGGCCACCACGTCAAAGTAGCAGTAACGGTCGGTGATAAAATTTGAGAACCATACATTGAATACTTTCGGTGAGAAATTCCATTATTTGTCCTTCACATTCTATATGATTCTTCAAAATCATAATTCTTATCTATTTCCATTTCTGTTTTCTTCAAGTCGATCTTCAAAGCCTACTGTTGCCATGCATTTCTCTATTGATTGGCGTCACATACTACGTATGTCGACAGATATAAGTAGCATACACCACATTTTTATCACTGAAGTGACAAACAAGTTTTACCTACATTACTTTGATGTTGATGTTTTCAGTGCGATCCGAATTTCATTATTTCTTAATTTATAAGGTAGATTGATATGTATTAGATAATTGAGTTAATGTTGAATAGCTCTTATTCAAGTATTTTCAATCTGAAGGATCTTTGATTCACAACTGATCTCAATATGAACTTGAAGGTAAGCAATATACTTCAGGATTGATACGTTGATTCTAAACTACAAGTAAGCAATTGCTATCACAATATAATTTAATGAAATTGAATTCACATTCACTTGATATTGTATACCTGAATCTTCCCATTCATTTTTAAGAGTGCAGATTGATCAGTCTCTTATTGGCATATGTGTAGCTTGTGCAGATTGCCTAGATATTGCTTTCATTTACAAGCATTCACTCTGGGATGCAGGTACACCAAGCTGACGAATCCCAAATAGGAAGAAACACGCACCCTGGATTTCACTGCCAGCCACTATTCATTTTTGCTTAAAATGCTCGTGACTTAAGGCAATCTGCACAGGTTGCATATATGCCAATAATAAGAGACTGATCAATTGTAGTCCTAAACAACAATGGGAAAATAAAATTAAACAACAATACCAAGTGATTGCATGCAATTGGTTCTCTTTATGAATTTAAATAGAGCAAGAACAAACATTTCGAGGTTTCTCGTCAGCTGCTTATAAACCAAAATTATGATAGAATTTTTACATGGAGATAGAGTGAAAACAAATGACATAGATGAGTGTAAATAACTGGGTTACAATAATAACTATATATATATATATATATATGCTATAAACAGGTCAGAGGTCAAAAGAGAGGGGTTAATCCAGGGTGGGTGGTGTAATAATTCAGTGAAGTTCATAAATTGTGTGATAATTGTAGAGATTAATGGAATTAAATAATGATAAGGTAGATTACGTAATAATAATTAAATAGGGTTTGTAAAGTTAAGATGATTTAAGAGGATCAAGTGGTGGAAATGTGTGAATAAAATTTTTTAGTTTAAGAATTAGGTAATACTGGGGGGGGGAATATAAATTATCTTAGAATAAGTAAATGAATAAAATAACCAAAACACAAAACAAACAAACAGAAACCAAAAAAGATTACCAGGGTAGTGATAAGTTTATTAAAGTCTCTTTTTGGATGCATAAGTCCGGTTTCAGTTTCTTAATTGCAATGGCTTTAACAAATTTATCACTAACCTGGTAATCTTTTTATTTCTGTTTGTTTGTTTTGTGTTCTGGTTATTTATTCATTTACTTATTCTAAGATTTAAAACAATTAGTCACTTTGATAAATTTCGATAATGCAATGAGAAGACGTAATTTATCAGAATTATGTGATGATATATTTGAGCAATACGTTTCGAACAATCTGATCACACATCATCTACTTGTTAAGAACATTTATATATGAAAAATTAAAAGATCATCTAGACAGGTTCAGGGTAACAAAGGAAAACATATTAAAGTACACAAAAACAAATGTGATTACCACTCTGCATAGTAAATCAGTACTACCAGGGTTGGTTAAGTGTAAGTACAAATTGTTTTTGAACACATAAAGGGGGTTTCAATTTTCGTATAGCCAAGGCTTCAATAAACCTTAGTATACGTCCTTGAAGGCTTTTGTACAACACAACAAATGCTGATTTGATATCAACCTTATGACCCATCTCAATCAAATGTTTCGCAATGGATGATGATGTCTGTCTATCCTGTGATCTTATTTCACCATTGGAATTCATCTGATTCTGCAACCATTTTGGTATATGTTCACCCACCCTTAATTGCAAATCACGATTGCTCTTCCCTACGTACGTGTTTCCACACATACACGTAAATTTATAGACACAATGGGATGTGACACAATCGTTTTCATGCTGTTTGGGCTTTTGGTGAAACATAGACCTTGTCTTTTCGATAATGACAAGTTGGGCTGCATAAAATGTCCGGCTGATAGCTAATTTAAGTCTCTGTTTCAATATGAAACTATTTGTGTCACCTCTGAATGGTAGCGCAATATAAACTCGCTTTTTGGGTGCCAGAAGCGTCATAGGTCTAGTCATATTGCAACACTTCCAGCGGTTTATGAACTTCAAAGGGTAACCATTATTGATTAACGCATCAGTCAAGAGCTTCACCTCTACTTCAATAGTATCACTATGAAAATTAAAATATTGTCCTGTCCATGTTGGTTTTCTATATGTAGCACGTTTAATGGACCCATCATCTCTCCTAGTAATCAGGATGTCAAGAAAAGGAAGTTGGTTGTTCTTCTCTTCTTCACATGTAAGAGAAATGTGGTTTTGACTACTATTGAATTCTTCTAACAAGCGGCTTATGTCTTCAATTTTATCACCT